AAATGCGTACATTGTTTCAATTCGTAATTACTCCTCATGCTATTCCAGAATGGCTCGGAATTGTTTCAAAAGTCATTTTAATACGAATTCATTCCGAATTTAGAAACTTCCAAACAAGATCAACCAAGCCTAATATTTATCACCCAGGAACAAAAGTCATCGTGTTACTTAGTGTTATTAAATCTGTTTTGGGTTTTAGTCTGAACTTTACTTACTAGAACCTATATAATGGGAATATTGTGCATCCATTTTATTTATATCTTACACATTACACATTTCCCAGGCTTGGGCACCAAATCGGCTCACAGAATCCAACAATTTGGTTAACGTAACGCGATGATGCGGTTCGCACTAAAACCCAAAGCGGGTCTCCCATGCATGGCTCCATTCGAAATTGCCTTCCTTTTGTCCAAAGACTGAAAAAAGGGAGTTGAATTTCCAGTTGTCACTTTTCGGTAATATCCGATTCTTGAAAACGGAATGGAATGGTTTTGGAGACTATGTTGCAAACCAATGCATGGGGGATGCATACATACGTCATGTATATTTATCATTCTGTTTACCAGCCTGCATCTTGGCATGATATATATATATATATATATATGTACCGGGTGACAGTTGTATTGTAGGCTTGGGCGGTTTCGTTCGTTAATTTCGTAATTCGTTATTAATTCGTATTTAAATTAGTTTACGATCCAATATTGAGCCATGCAGGAATAGTGTGAGGAGTAATTAGATTCGAAACAATTTTTTTCAATTTATTTCGTAATTATTTCGTAATTATTTCGTAATTATTTTCGCATGTCTGGTGCAAGTTTTATAGTTGTTGTTTGTTTTATCACACCAACAGTCAACAACAGAGGGAGAGGGAAGCTTCAGAAGTTCCCCGTCCCATTTGGAGGTTTTTTTAGCATATTGCGCAATCTGGTCCGCTATTAACGAATTGATTCGTAATTTTACGAAATTTCGTAAATTTGAAATTTTTTAAAGGAAAATTTCGGAATTATTAAAAAAAAACGAAACGCAACGCCCCCCTAAAAACAAAACGAGTTTAGAACCAAATTTTTCCGTGGTTACCCAAGCCTAATATATATATATATATATATTTTCTGGCTTGAAGGACCTTTTGCTCGGGATGTTTAGTCTTACGGCCTTGCCTATACGCTAATCTCACAAAAAAACTGAGACCAAGCTTTGTCCATATTGTGCCCGGTTGCTTGTACAAAATGCACAAGGAGCGATTTCTAGTTTGCAAGTAATTTTAACCCCGAGGGCATTGAAAACGGTTGTGCACAAGCCCTCGAGATGTTTCCAACTGACGGCGATTTACGGCAGGTTTTCCCTTGACGAGCATTGTTCGGAAGGGCTTTTTCCCTCTGGCTATCTCCCAAGCCAAGACAGTGTGACTAACTAGGTTGTTGTGAGTTTTTCCAAACTTATATGGCCATGTTCCGGCAGTGTTTCCTCCTGATGTTTCACCTGCATCTGTGACTAATGGCATCTTCATAGATCTGATGAAAGTGAGGCAAGTGGAGTGTATCTATAACTGTGGAATAATGTCCATGGTTGGAAAAAAGGACCCTTGTCCGTTGAAGCAAGTGTGAATGTTGCAATTAGTATTGAGTAGCCATGAAGTCTACAAAGTCAATCGGTGAAGATATTTGCATAGAGGGAATCTGGCTATTTTCTCCTGGAGGCACCCTCCATTTGGAAAGTGTTCACTGGCACTTGGTTGTTTGCTGTCTGGAGGTCCCCTGTTTCTGAGCAGTGTTCTTTATTTACTGTCTTGATTCTGGTTTGTGTGTTTTTTTTGTGAGTATCCTGAAGCTGCAAAACCAATCAGTGAGGGTACCTACATAAAGGTAGCCATGCTGTTTTGGCCTGGAGGCACCCTCTGTTTGGGAGGTGTTCACTGGCACTTGGTTGTTTGCTGTCTGGAGTTCCCCTGTTTCTGAGCAGTGTTCTTTATTTACTGTCTTGATTCTGGTGTGTGTGTGTTTTTTGTGAGTATCCTGAAGCTGCAAAATCAATCAGTGAGGGTACCTACATAAAGGTAACCATGCTGTTTTGGCCTGGAGGCACACTCTATTTGGGAGGTGTTCACTGGCACTTGGTTGTTTGCTGTCTGGAGTTCCCCTGTTTCTGAGCAGTGTTCTTTATTTACTGTCTTGATTCTGGTGTGTGTGTGTGTGTGTGTGTGTGTTTTGTGAGTACCCTGAAACTGCAAAACCAATCAGTGAGGGTACCTATATAAAGGTAACCATGCTGTTTTGGCCTGGAGGCACACTCTATTTGGGAGGTGTTCACTGGCACTTGGTTGTTTGCTGTCTTGAGTTCCCCTGTTTCTGAGCAGTGTTCTTCTGGTGTGTGTTTTTTTTTGTGTGAGTACTCTGAAGCTGCAAAGCCAATCAGTGAGGGTACCTACATAAAGGTAGCCATGCTGTTTTGGCCTGGAGGCACCCTCTGTTTGGGAGGTGTTCACTGGCACTTGGTTGTTTGCTGTCTGGAATTCCCCTGTTTCTTTATTTACTGTCGTGATGCTAGTGTTTGTTTTTTTATTTATTTTCTGTATTTGTATACCGCCTTTCTCAGCTCGTAGGCGACTCAGCTCGTAGGTGTTCACTGGCACTTGGTTGTTTGCGGTCTGGAATTCCCCTCTTTTTTTATTTACTGTCTCGATGCTAGTGTTTGTTTGTTTATTTATTTATTTTCTGTATTTGTATACTGCTTTTCGCAGCCTGTAGGCGACTCAGCCCGTAGGTGTTCACTGGCACTTGGTTGTTTGCTGTCTGGAATTCCCCTGTTTCTTTATTTACTGTCGCGATGCTAGTGTTTGTTTATTTATTTATTTTCTGTATTTATATACCGCCTTTCTCAGCCTGTAGGCGACTCAGCTCGTAGGTGTTCACTGGCACTTGGTTGTTTACTGTCTGGAATTCCCCTGTTTCTTTATTTACTGTCTCGATGCTAGTGTTTGTTTGTTTGTTTGTTTATTTATTTCCTTTATTTGTATACCGACTTTCTCAGCCCGTAGGCGACTCAGCCCGTAGATGTTCACTGACACTTGGTTATTTGCTGTCTGGAATTCCCTTGTTTCTTTATTTACTGTCTCGATGCTAGTGTTTGTTTATTTGTTTATTTATTTTCTGTATTTGTATACCGCCTTTCTCAGCTCGTTGGCGACTCAGCCCGTAGGTGTTCACTAGCACTTGGTTGTTTGCTGTCTGGAATTCCTTGTTTCTGAGTGGGGTTCTTTATTTACTGTTTTGATTCCGGTGTTTTGTTTTTTTAATCCTGGTCACCAGATTTTTTTTCCCATTCACATGGTTTCCACCTTTCTGTTGAAATTGGCCATGTGATTCTTGTGGATTTAATGGCTTCTCTGTGTAGTATGACACAGTGGTTGTCGGAGTTGCCCAGTATTTCTGTATTTGTAAGTAATATTCTGTATCCAAGTAATAATACTCTGTGTTGTTTCTGTGAACCAACCTGATCCATTAATGAACCAAACTAGACACAGAATATAATTTTTTTTAAAAAAACAAAACACCAGAATCAAGACAGTAAATAAAGAACACCACTCAGAAACAGGGGAACCCCAGACAGTGAACAACCAAGTGCCAGTGAACACCTCCCAAACAGAGAGTGCCTCCAGGCCAAAACAGCATGGCTACTTCTATGCAGGTACCCTCACTTAATTGGCTTTGCATCTTCAGGCTACTCACAAAAAACCCACACCAGAATCAAGACAGTAAATAAAGAACACCACTCAGAAACAGGGAAATAACCAAGTGCCAATGAATTCCTCCCAAACAGAGGGTGCCTCCAGGCCAAAACATCATGGCTACTTCTATGCAGGTACCCTCACTGATTCAGGAAACTCACAAAAAAAAACCCACACCAGAATCAAGACAGTAAATAAAGAACACCACTTAGAAACAGAGAAACTCCTGACAGCTAATAACCAAGTGCCAGTGAACACCTCCCAAACAGAGGGTGCCTCCAGGCCAAAACAGCATGGCTACTTCTATGCAGGTACCCTCACTGATTGGTTTTGCAGCTTCAGGGTACTCGCAAAAAAAACCCACACCAGAATCAAGAGAGTCAATAAAGAACACCACTCAGAAACAGGGAAACTCCAGACAGTAAACAACAAAGTGCCAGTGAACACGTCCCAAACAGAGGTGGCTACTTCTATGTAGGTACCCTCACTGATTGGCTTTGCAGCTTCAGGGTACTCACAAAAAATACCCACACCAGAATCAAGACAGTAAATAAAGAACACCGCTCAGAAACAGGGAAACTCCAGACAGCAAACAACCAAGTGCCAGCGAACACCTCCCAAACAGGGTGCCTCCAGGCCAAAACAGCATGGCTACCTCTATGTAGCTACTTTCACTGATTGGCTTTGTAGCTTCAGGGCTACTTAATGCTATTCAAGCTCACTAATTGCAACATTCACACTTGTTTCAACAGACAAGGGTTCTTTCTCTCACTCTGGTCATCATTACACAGGTGTGTGTGTGTGTAATATATATACACACAAAAACACACCACTTGACTTGCTGCCAATCAAGTCCCAAGAAGAGGACGCCTCCAGGTGTCCGGCCTTCGGCGCCTGCTTCCCTTCATGCCTCCTCCATCCGACGTGACCGCCTTCCATCTTTGTCCGTCTTCTTGGTTTCTTTCCTTTTCCATAGGTGTCGTTTTCCTCCCAAATAGAAGCCCCTCCGCAAACACATCCAGAAAGCTCTCATTCGTTCGTTCGTTCGCTCCATCCTTCCTTTCTAACCTGGATTAACGCTGCTTGCAAGATGTCTTGAGTAGTCGGAAAACCCGTCCGCTTTCTCCTCGTTTTTGGTTTCACATTTGAGTTGTTTCCCGTTTGGTGTCGTCATGGCCTTAATTCGACCGGACGGCTCCGCTCGCTGCTCTTGCCTCTCTAAGCGTCTATCGTTTTTTGTTTTTTTTCTCTCTCGCTCTTGTTTTCTTTCTTGCAGAGACGGTCCGGGCGATGACCCACGTCATCAACCAAGGCATGGCCATGTATTGGGGGACATCGCGATGGAGCTCCATGGAGATTATGGTAATGTCGAATGCACAGCCATGTTCCGAAGGAATTACAAATAATGATAATGATAATTTTATTTCTTAGTCTCCTCTCGAATCTCGAGGCCGCATCACCGCACAAACGCACATGAAAACTTTGCAAAAAAATTCTATTAATGTAGTTTTTAGGGCTGCTCGAATGCTTCGGAGATCCGTTTCGTAATTCGGAGATTTGTATGATTAGTTAATAGGCCTGAGCAACCACGGAAAAATTTGTTTCTAAAATCGATTCGTTTTTGGGGGGGGTTTGCGTTTCGATTTTTAAAAGAATTCCGAAATTTTTCTTTTAAAAAAGTTCGATATTTACGAAATTTCGTAAATGTAAAAAAAATTACTAAACAATAACGAAACAATTTCGAAACAATAACGAAACAATTCGTTAATGGCAGGCGCGACCGCGCAATACGCTAAAAAACCTCCAAATGGGACAGGGGGAACTTCTGAAGCTTCCCTCTCCCTCTGTTGTTGACTGTTGGTGTGATATTATAATTTTTTTTCACTAATTAAACAAACAACAACTATAAAACTTGCCCCAGACATGCGGAAATAATAACGAAACGACTTCAAAACGATAACGAAACGAATACATAACGAATCCGAAACAATTACAAAATGAATTTAAAAATTCGTTTCGTTTTTAAGTTGCTCCAGAATGGTTCGTTATCGCTTCGTTATAAAAAAAATAACGAATTTTTAACGAATTACGAATTTACAAAACGAAACCGCCCAGCCCTATTGGTTAATACAAATCTCTGGATTGCTAATTGGAACGGGACGCCTCCAAAGCAATTTTTAAAACAATTCTAAAAATCAGTCGATAAAAAGATTGATATCTTGTCTCACTGTGCAAAAATACAAGGGCATATCCCTTGTAATCATAATAATGTTATTGATTAGCCCGTAGTAGGCATGGGCAATCCATGGTTCTAAATGGTTCTAAGGTACTTACTAGGCTTGGGCGGTTTCGTTCGTAATTTCGTAATTCGTTATTAATTCGTATTTAAATTAGCTTACGATCCAATATTGAGCCATGCAGGAATAGTGTGAGGAGTAAATTAGATTCGAAACAATTTTTTCAATTTATTTTGTAATTATTTCGTAATTATTTTGTAATTATTTCGTAATTATTTTGTAATTATTTTGTAATTATTTCGTAATTATTTTCGCATGTCTGGTGCAAGTTTTATAGTTGTTGTTTGTTTTATCACACCAACAGTCAACAACAGAGGGAGAGGGAAGCTTCAGAAGTTCCTCCTGTCCCATTTGGAGGTTTTTTTAGCATACTGCGCAATCGCGTCCGCCATTAACGAATCGATTCGTAATTTTACGAAATTTCGTAAATTTCGAAATTTTTAAAGGAAAATTTCGGAATTATTAAAAAAAACGAAACGCAAGGGCCCCCTAAAAACAAAACGAGTTTAGAACCAAATTTTTCCGTGGTTACCCAAGCCTAGTACTTACAAAACTAGGGGGCGCTGGTGCTTTGCCCAATCTCTCTACTGAACCTAGATTACAAAATCTTCGCACACATTCCGGCAGAAAGACTCAAATCACTACTCAAAACCTGGATCAAAGAAAACCAAACTGGTTTCCTCCCCAACAGAAGTAGTAAAGAGAATGTATGGACAATCATTGACCTTCTCAAATTCTATGAAGCTAACAACCAAAGAGAATTGGCATTGATATTTTTAGACGCCGAGAAGGCTTTTGATAGCATTAATTGGAATTATCTACTATCCCTTTTCAAAGAAATAGATGCCGGTCATTACTTTATAAATGCGTTTGAATCAATATACACTAGGCCTGGGTAACAACGGAAAAATTTGTTTCTAAACTCGTTTCGTTTTTAGGGGGTCCATTGCGTTTCGTTTTTTAAAAGAATTCCGAATTTTTCTTTAAATTTTTTTCGTTATTTACAAAATTTCGTAAATTTCGAATTGATTCGTTAATGGCGGACGCGATTGCGCAATACGCTAAAAAAAACCTCCAAATGGGACAGGGGGAACTTCTGAAGCTTCCCTCTCCCTCTGTTGTTGACTGTTGGTGTGATAATTTATTTTTTATCACTGATAAAACAAACAACAACTATAAAACTTGCACCAGACATACGGATATAATAACGAAACAATTTCGAAAAGATTTCGAACCAATTACGAAACAATTAGAAAATAAATTGAAAAATTCGTTTCGATTTTTAATTACTCCTGCATGGCTCAATATGCTCAATAAGCAACTCCACTGACCCCACACCCTCCTGCTCAAGGGAAAGAGCTGGCCATAGCAGCTTTGAGAGGAAGGAAAGAGGTAGAGAAGTAAGAAAGAGAAAGATGAAGGGAAAGAAAAAGTGGGGAAGGAATGTAAAAGGGAGGGAAAGAAGGAAGGAAGGAGAAAAGGAAAGAAAAAGAGGGAAGGAATGACAGCAGGAGGGAAGGAAGGAAGGAGAGAAGAAAAGAAGAAGAGAATGAAGAAGGGACAGAAAAGGGTTGTGGTTGATAAGGAAGGAAAGATGTAGGGAAGGAGGATCTTGGAGTCCTTGTGGACAACAAGTTAAACATGAGCCAACAATGTGATGTGGTGGCAAAAAAAGCCAATGGATTTTTGGCCTACATCAATAGGAGCATAGTGTCTAGATCCAGGGAAGTCATGCTACCCCTCTATTCCGCTTTGGTTAGACCACACCTGGAATATTGTGTCCAATTCTGGGCACCACAATTGAAGAGAGATATTGACAAGCTGGAAAGTGTCCAGAGGAGGGCGACTAAAATGATCGGGAACAAGCCCTATGAGGAGCGGCTTAAGGAGCTGGGCATGTTTAGCCTGAAGAAGAGAAGGCTGAGAGGAGACATGATAGCCAGTATAAATATGTGAGAGGAAGCCACAGGGAGGAGGGAGCAAGCTTGGTTTTCTGCTTCCTGCGTGCAGATCCCAGTAAGGTGGCCTTTTGCAGCTGACAGATGGTAATCTTGTCAGCGCCGATTGAGGAAGAACTTCCTGACTGTGAGAGCCATTCAGCAGTGGAACTCTCTGCCCCAGAGTGTGGTGGAGGCTCCTTCTTTGGAAGCTTTTAAACAGAGGCTGGATGACCATCTGTCAGGGGTGATTTGAATGCAATATTCCTGCTTCTTGGCAGGGGGTTGGGCTGGATGGCCCATGAGGTCTCTTCCAACTCTTCGATTCTGTGATTCTAAGGAACCAGACTGAGGCCACAGCAAAGCGTGGCTGGGGACAGCTAATATATATATATATTCCATTTAAAAGAGATCTAGATGTCTGAATGAGAGTTGACAGTGTTTCCTTTCACAACGGGAAATGGATGTCTAGCCGCTTTCAAACAATTAGAGGAGAGCGGCATCTCTTGCTGGGTCTGCAAGATGGTTTGATCCGGTTGTTCTGCACGAAAGCCTTAGCGGTTGCCTATGAGGCTGGAGGTCTGGAGGCAAAACATCTCAGCCTGATGCGAAGAGACAGCGGTGCTCCGGCGCCGTGTGTTGCTTACAGATGTGTTTCTGCTTCATTAGCCGCTGCTCAGATCTCATGAAAAGGAGGAGGGTGGATATGGAGTCAGGTGCGGAGAGGGAGGAATCTGTCAATCCGGCAAGAAACCCTATTGGCGACCACGAAGGGACCTTTGTCATTGCAAGCAAAAAGGGACTCTCGCAAGTGCGGTTCAATCTGCTCTTCCATCTGTCCTTTTGTGCTGCCCTGGAGAGATTTGTGCCTGTTTTCGGACGCTGCTGACCAGATCTGGAAACTGCCCACATGGAAAATGATATACACTCTGGCTTTTTTTGTTCTTGGGTGATCAATGTCGTTTCCTAATTTGGTTCTGTCATA